GATGGGGGGACTGCCAGCCTGGCCTCCTGCCCTTTTACAAAGCGGGGGGTGGGGGGAAAGAAAATCAAGTAGCCCCTGCTTTATATTAAGGGGCACCCTGCTAAGGATTTTATATTTTCTTATCATTTCACAACCATAGCTCCGCGGAGCTGATACGCTGGTTTGCTGCTGTCGTTTGAGACAGTCTCATGATGGACCCAGTCCAGCCTCCAACTCAAGGAGAGCTCTCTGCCTCACCCTGGGAAGGCTGGGATTACAGCTATGAACAGTCCCACCCAGATGAAATTGATATTATTCCACTTTACAGGTGGAAAAACTGAGGCCTCCTTAAGTCAAACAGCTAGGACGGGTGAGAATTCTGATGCGAGCTCTGGTCACCTCTCCTGCCTCATCTCAGTGTCCGGGTTGGTAACGTGTGGTTATTAACTGTGAGACCTTCAGAGATGTTGTATGATGAAAAACGCTCCTTTGAGAGCAGGTAGAGTGGTGGGCACCACCTTTAAAAGAATGATGATTCTTCAGCCAGGATGTCTCAGTAAATACTAATCATTGTGACAGCTGCCACTTACAGAGTGGCCATTAGTTGGCAGGTGCTAATGTTGACACCAATCTGGGCAGGCTACATTATGCTGTGTTCCAGTAATAACTTCTTAATCTCAGTGGCTGAAAACAACAGAGGTGTATGAGTCAGATAGTGCAGCCATAATGCCACGTAACAAACAATCCCCACACTAAGATTTAAGACTACAAACAGTCTTGTTTCTAAGGGCCGGTAGCTTGCCTCAGATAGCTCTCCTAGCTGGTTTGATCTAGAACTGGCTTCTCCACGAGCTGCCACAAATCCTCTGGGCCAGCATGAAAGTCAAGTGCATACAGGGTTTTTGTTGTTGTTGTTGGGGTTAGAACTGGTAACCCTCCATTGTCTATGATGAGTCACGAGGCCAAAGCCAACATCAACATGGGAGTTTCACTGGGAGAGCGGGGTGTGTATTTGCTGACTGAGCACCCATTCACAAAAGGCTGGTGCTTGCCTTTGCTCTACGGGTTCAGCATCACCCAAATCGGGTTTCTGCCCGTTCCAGGTATAGATCAGCCAATGCCTTTGCCAAAGGGAAGTGCCTAGGAATGCCTCCCCTGTGTGATTAACCACTGTGTGACCCAGAAGTGACTCAACACTCTCAGCTCCAGGGACAGAGCTAGTCACATGGCCAGACCTAACCCGAAGTAGGTTCCTCCTCCAGTTGGAAGGCAGAGAGCTGGGCAATGGCGGAAACAGCAAGTGTGAGCACCTTGACCTCTGAGAGGCTGCCTCTCATTTTGTCTGCCTGATGACTGTGACAGGCAGGCATTAGCATTCGCATCCTCGAGATGTATCTTGAAGCAAGGGAGTAGGGATGGGGCTAGGGACGGGGCGTATGTCAATTGAAGATTGCACAGCTCAAATGTTACTGGGCTGGGGGGGGTTATTATGTTGTTGTTATAGTTTTGTTTTGTTTTGTTTTGTTTTGAGACAGGGTTTTTATATGTAGCTATGGCTGTCCTGGAACTCACTCTGTAGACCAGGCTGGCCTTGAAGGCAGAGATCTACCTGCCTCTGCCTCCTGAGTATATCACTGCCACTTGGCTCAGAGTTTAAGATTTTAGAAGAATGTGGTATACCTATAAACCCAATGCTTGGGAGGCTGGGGCAGGAGGAGGAAGAGGAGGAAGAGAGGAAAAGGAAGAGGAGGAGGAGGCATTAAACACAGTCCAGGCTACAACTCAAAAGCTTCAATTAATTTTGTGTTAGTAGTGGGAATAGACCTAGAGCCTTGAATATGCTAGTCAGGGGCTCTACCACTGAGTGACACCCCTCCCCTTCCCAGCCCCTCACTAGGAGATTCTAGGCAGGGGCTCTACCACTGAGTGACACCCCTCCCCTTCCCAGCCCCTCACTAGGGGATTCTAGGCAGGGGTTCTACCACTGAGTGACACCCCTCCGCTTCCCAGCCCCTCACTGGGAGGTTTTAGGCAGGGACTCTACCATTGAGCCATGCCCCTAGCCCCTCACTGGGGGATTCTAGGCAGGGGCTCTACCACTGAGCCACGCCCCCAGCCCCTCACTGGAGGATTCTAAGGGAACACATCCCCAACCGTTAGCCTGGTAGGCTTTTCAGTACGGCAGTGATGGCAGGGAGCCCATGAATAGCCAAAAGTAAGTCTGATTCATCGGCACCTTGGAAGCCTCTGATCACATCACATTTGCTGTTGTTCCCGTGGCTAAAATCCAAAGTCAGGCTGAGAGAGGACATCCAAGGGCTTGTCTGTGGAGAGGCAGAACTGGGGAACAGCGGGGCTCGCTGGCTCAAGAGTTCAGCTGCTTGGCCATCATAAACTAGGAAGCATTTAAAAATCACCACCTTGACTGGCTGGGGAGATTGCTCAGGAGGTGAAAGCTTCATCTTTCACAGCACACAGACACTTCAAATCAATAAAGACACACACAATAGTATTTCTACCTTTTATTCTTTTTTTCCAAACACAACACAGAATGACCAGACAGATTTGCCCCCACATTCCAACAGACAGCTTCATGAGCCAGAAGTGTGGGGCTCTCTCTATGTTGAGAAGGGCACCTTGTCCACTGACCAACTTTTGAAACCTGCTCTTCTTTCAAGGGTAACACCATGATTGTGTAGCTGCAATTCCAGCATGGAAGATTGACATTTCCCAGAATTCCTGTGTCCAGGCTCTCCCAGATCTGAGGTGCTCATGGGAGCACCGTGCTGGCAGTCAGCGGCCTGTGACAATGGAGACTGAGCCTTTTCTATTGGACACTTCCAGAGGCCTCAGTCTCGGCTTTATTTACATTCTGGGAAAGCCTAAATATCCTAATGAAAGACCGTACTGGCAATATATGTCACTTACACCTGTAATCCCAGATCTTCAGAGCCCAGGCATGAGTTAGAGCTATAGAGTTAGGCCCTATCCTGGGGGTTGAGGGGGAGAGTCATAGTTTAAAAGGCAGCCACCTCTATCTGAAGTCCAGGACAGGAGAGGCTGAGGCAGGAGGAGCACCTGGCATCAAGTATTTGAGATGGCCTGGATCCTCTATCTCCAAGTAACAAAACAAAAACGGACAAGGAATCACACAACACAAAAGCGCCCATATACAAGCTTATGGAGCTGACCAGAACACACACAATGGCCACAATATGCTTCTTCTGATGCATCCAGCATGGGCCTCCTGCCTCAAGGAGATGGGACAGCAGCAAAGCCCAGGACAGGGATTGCCAAACAAGACATGGTCAGAGCCAGGCATCATGCCACATGCTTGTGATCCTGGCACTTGAGAGGTGGAGGCAGGAGGATCGGGATTTCAAGGCCATCCATCACCGGCTACATACCGTGTTGAAAGGCAAGCCCTAGGCTATGTCAAAGTACCAAAAAAAAGAAGACCGTTTAAAGAGTGCAGGACACTTAATAGGAAGTCACAGGAGACCAAGTTGGCTGTTACTGTAGCCAGACCAAGGGAAGTGGCGCCCAGGCAGTAGAGGAGAAACATTTGAGTTCCAAGCTTCTCAGGAGGGGCTGTGGTACCTGTGAGCTGGGTATGTTTGAGCACATTCATGAGCCAGTGTGTGCATGCTTAGCTTCATGCATGTGTAACACATGCAAATTTTCAGCTACCGCTGGCTGTGATGGGAAATTTTTTTTAAAGATCTATTTATTTATGCATGTGAGTACACTGTCACTGTCTTCAGACACTCCAGAAGAGGGCACTGGATCCCAGTGTAGAGGGTTGTGAGCCACCATGTGGTTGCTGGGAATTGAACTCAGGACCTCTGGAAGAGCCGTCTCTCCAGCGCTGTTGTGGTTGATATTAACTGACAGAATTTACATTCACTCTGAACACGGCTATGGAGGAGTGTCGAGGCTATGCTAAAGGAGGTGAGGTCACTTACTGTTCGAGGCACTATTCATTCCATAGGGCTGTGGTTCCGGGGTGAAGACAGAGGAGGCGATTTCTCTGTTTCCCGAATGTGGCTGCGAGGTCTTCCTCCCTCTCTGGCCACTGTGCTTTTCCCGCAATGGACTGTATTGTTGAACTAGGAGCCAAATGTATGGCTAATGCCTCTGAGAAAAAAAATCAGTCTCAGATCCTATTTGTACTTGATCCATTGGAACATCGCAGGTTTGGGAAAACTATTAAGCCAGGAGGTGAGGGAGGCCTGTGATCCCAGTTACCTGGGAGGCTGAGTGAGGAGGATCTCAAATTCAAGGCCTGTCTGGAATAGAGTCAGTTCAAGGGCAGACCAGGCAATTTAGTGAGACTTTGTCTTGATATATGAACTTTGGCTCAGTGGTAGAGCCCTGCCTAGACTCCCCCAGTGAGGGTTGGGGGCTCAGTGGTAGAGCCCCTGCCTAGAATCCCCCAGTGAGGGTTGGGGGCTCAGTGGTAGAGCCCCTGCCTAGAATCCCCCAGTGAGGGGCTGGGGGCGTGGCTCAGTGGTAGAGCCCCTGCCTAGAATCCCCCAGTGAGGGGCTGGGGGCGTGGCTCAGTGGTAGAGCCCCTGCCCAGAACCCTACCTCCAGCCCCTAGAGCAGGGCTAGAGACATGGTTCCAGCAGATTGTTTGCCTTTAATATGTGAGGCACTGGCTGAAACTTCATTATTGAGGAGAACTTATCAAATATAAATGAAACATGGGTATGTGAATTGGGCCCTCCATCTATCAATTCACCTCTTTCCAATTAGGCGTATCACATGATCTGAGGTGTTCACAGGTGTAAGGAACACATCGGTTTTGATGATTTAGCAAAAAGAATGTTGGGCCGGGTGGTGGTGGCGCACGCCTTTAATCCCAACACTTGGGAGGCAGAGGCAGGCGGATTTCTGAGTTCGAGGCCAGCCTGGTCTACAGAGTTCCTGGACAGCCAGGCCTACACAGAGAAACCCTGTCTCGAAAAAACCAAAAAAAAAAAAAAGAAAAGAAAAAAGAAAAGAAAAAGAATGTTGGGCTGCTCTAAGAGCTTTAAAATGGAAGGCAGCTGCTGTGGTTTTAGAGTATTAGTCCCAGTACTGGAGAGGTGGGGAGGCAGAGGCAGGGCCAACGCTGGCCAATTCAAGCATCAAGGACTTCGTATCAGGCTGGCTGAAGATGGGCTGAGCAGGGAATGAGAAGATTCGGGGTCAGACGATGTGGAGTTCAAGGCCAGTCTAGACTCTAGTGGGATCGGGCGGGTACCCTAGGAGCCTGCAATTCTCTGTCACTGAAGACTGCCTTCAATTTCAAATTCTCCCGTGTCAACCAGAGGTGCAAGGATTACAGGCACCAACAGCCAAATCAGGGGCCTCCTTCCATCGGGCGAATGGTGTCAGAGGTGAGAGTTCAAGGTGAGACGGGGGTAAAGCCGGGCTATGCAGGCCTCCGATTATTAGCCCTTGGATGCTCTTAGGATTCCAGTCCAGTTCTTTCATCTACCAGGTGAACATATACGGCGCTCGTTCCTGTGGTGACAGCAGCCAAGCAGCTGCTTCTGTTCCTTCTCCCGCCAGGTGCCCGCTTCCCCCTAGCTCCCTCTTTGTTACAAGAGGACTGACAACCTGAATTCCAGGCCACGTGCCAATGATCAGTAAACGAAGATGAGAAATACTAGGCACCTACCGTGTGTCGGGCCCTGCTCTGGGTGCTAGGGTACACCCAAGAGAAAGACAGGCAAGGAGTGAGAGTCAGTGAACAGGCAACTGAAAGAGTGAATGAATAGATCCATTGATAGTAATGTTCACTACAGGGACGATCAAGCGGCCAGGATCAATATGAGCTACTTTGGGTGATCATAGAGCCATTTCAGGGAGACCTGATGGATGAGCAGCCTATCTCAAAAAGAGATGGAGAGGGAGGGCATTCCACGGAAAACCAGAAAACGCACACGTCTCAAGGCAGGACCTGAGCAGCAGAACAACAAATCAGGGTTGCTGGAGACGGGCTGGAAATGGAGAAGAGGCAGGGCCGGGCCACACACTGCTTTGCTGTGTTGATGAGCTTCTGGCCTGTGTCTCTGAACCCCTTTTCTGTTTTCAACACTGAGGAATCTTACTCGGCTCTTCCCACCGGCACAAAGCTTACAGCACTGTGGTTTCTGCCTCTGCCTGCCTCCTGGCACATTCCCATAGCACCAAGGGCCTACCCAGCTCTCCCGTGGGGGACCCTCGTTCACAGCAGCCGCCTGTGTGGACCAGCAGCAGGTATCTTGGAGTGATCGGAAGAGGTCATGCAGAAAACCGTAGACTGCTACAGCAGGACTCTTGCCTTTCCAGACAAGCAGGAGCACAACACTCTGAGGCCGGTTAAGGTCCAAATGACAGAAGAAACCGGTATAAACTAAAGCAAAACAGGAACATACAGGCCAGAGACCCTCAATCACCCAGCACCTATAAAATGGGGGTAGTCATACCCCTTCCCAGTAAAGCTCGGAGAGGCAGTTGCCTCGATCCCAGTACATCAGAGGCTCAAGGGAGGTCTTTCCAAGTGTGGGTTTCTATTCTTCCACACTCTAAAGATCCTAGGCTCTTGCCATCAGAAGACTACCTTACCCAGACCCTCCGTTGTCTCTTCCCTTCAATTTTGTGAGACAGTATTCACTACACTGAAAAAAAAAAAAAAAGCCTTGAAGAGCAAATGACAGACACTCTTCCACACTCCAAGAGACCAAAGAGTCTCCAGCAGGCTCCTGGTCTCCACAGCGGCTTCCCACCACCCAAGAAATGACAACCAATCTCCAGAGCCTTCTTAGGAACCAGACTTTTTCTAAGCCTCTCACAGCTCCCGCAAATCTGTTTTTTTCATCGGGCAACTGATATCTTGTTTCCCTTTGGGAACCCCGCACTCCAAGGGTTCTAATTCCTTGCAGCTCCAGGTCCATAGACATAGGTTCACTCCCAGAGCAGGAAGGAATCAAGGCTTCTAGAGATCCAGGACCGGGTGTCAGCTGGACGCCAAGAGGCTCCTATTCCCAGGAGTCCCAGGCCCTCAACTTCCTTTACTGCATTGGTATCTGGATGACACACATCTGTCGCATAGACCCTACTCCCATTCAGAACCTAGGAAATCGGGTGACTGTAAGTCTCCTTCAAGTCTCCCGGTTTGAGTAACAAAACTTCACTCGTTAATCTCAGAGGCTGTGGGGCCAAGAACCGAGTCACCAGACACCCCCAAGCCCCACCACACACCTCATTGGTTGGGCTCTGGGGGTCCCAGCACCGCCTCAGCATCAGCCAGCATCTCATCAAGGGCTTGCAGCAGCACACCATGCGCAGCACGGTAACCCAGCCCACCGGTTGCCGCTGCGCCACCCGCGGGCCATAGGAAGGAGAGCGCGCCCAACGCCGCACCTCCCGCCGTGCCCTCACCTGCCCAGGACCCCAGCCTGGCCTCTACCTCGGCTCGTGTCACCGGGCCCGGGAAGCGTGTGCGTGCGGCCAGTACTCCGGGAGCCAGGCCCAAGGCGCGCTCACGTCGTGCCACAGCCGCGGGTTCGAGGCCCAGCGCGCGCCTCCACTCGGCCAGCTGTCCCCGGAGAAGCGCCACATCGCAAGCCCAGCCCAGGCCTGGTACTGGAGCGGCTGCCGCCGCCAAGCTAGCCAGCAGGGCTGGCCTCCACGCCCCTGCCCGCAGGGCTGCCGCTTTCCTCCGCGCCGCCCGGGGACTTGCGGGTGGCAGCGCCAGCAGCAGCGCTCCTGCCTGAGCTGTGGGCAGTGCGCGCTGAAGCCAGGTTCCCAGACCCGGGAGGCCGCCGGGCCGCAGCGGGAACACAGGCGGAGGCGCCTCCTCCAGCACCTCCCACTGCTCATCCTCCGGGCTCCGAGCGGCAGTGCACCCCGAGTCCCCGATGCCAGCTTTCTTTCCATCGCTGCGTGCATCCCCTGAGTTCCCATCGCCTGCATTCTGGGCCTTTTCTTCTTCTAGAACCTCGGGTGGATCTTCGCCCTGACCGTCCGTGCGCACACCGACGAGTGGAGCATCTGGGGACACCAATGAGCGGACCTGGGCCCAGTTCTCCTCGGTGGGAGCCCCAGGGGTGACGAGGATCAGGGCATCGTAGTGGGTCGGGTGAGGGGTGACGGCAGGGGATGTGGCCGTGGGGCCCAGGGGAACGGTCCAGAGCACTACGTTGGGGCGCTCTGGAGCATGATAAGGGGTGGGCCCAGTGGGTGCAGAGGCAGGAGCAGCACCTGGGTCGCCAGGATCTAACCCCAGTAGCATGTCCAGCACAAGGCCTACGTTGGTGGTGCCAGCCACTGCCAAGTCCAGTCGTGCGCTGCCCAGGCGCTCCAGACCGGCGCGCACCCACGACAGCGCCGCCTCCAGGCCACCGGTCTCGAAGGCCTCACGAACAGCTTCCAGCTCTGCTGCGCCCAGTACCTCGAAGCCATCCTGGGCAGGAGGCAGGAGCCTGCAAGAGTTGGGAGAGAGGGTGGGAAAAACGGTCAAAGGCAGCAGAGCTTGAACAGCAGGAAAAGTTGGGCTAAGCGAGCAATTCCGGGGGGTGGGGGTGTCTTTCTGAATCTCAGGAACTGAAGTAGGAACTAAAGCAGATAGAAAGACGGCATGGTTGGGCGTGGTGGCATGTGTCTTTAATCTCAGCACTAGAGTGGCAAAGGCAGGCAAATCTCTGAGTTCAAGGACAGCCTGGTCTGCAGAGCCCGTTCCAGGACATCCGGGAATACAGAGAAACCCCATCTCAAAAAACCAAAAAAGAGCCGGGCAGTGGTGGCGCACACCTTTAATCCCAGCATTTGGGAGGCAGAGGCAGGCGGATTTCTGAGTTCGAGGCCAGCCTGGTCTACAGAGTGAGTTCCAGGACAGCCAGGGCTACACAGAGAAACCCTGTCTTGAAAAACCAAAGAAAGAAAGAAAGAAAGAAAGAAAGAAAGAAAGAAAGAAAGAAAGAAAGAAAGAAAGAAAGAAAAGAAAGAAACCAGGTGGGGCGGGGCTGTAAAGGGCAGAGCTTAAGCTACCCAGAGTTCTGATCTTGCAGGTAAACTAACTTAAGCTCAGGTTTCCAACAGAAACTAAGATGTGGACCCTGCTCAGACTTCCCCCTGACACAGCCCTCAGGATCAGAGCTTGGCCAATGATGTGTTGGGCAGGACAAGTTTTCTATGGGTGGGGCTTAGAGGAAGGTAAGGACACAATGGCAATTTCAGTGTGGCCTATGGTGTCCCCATGGGTGTTTTCCTGAGGGTGGATATTAGGAAGGGCATGTAAAGAGAGAGATCTCATCTAGTACTGGTGGGCCAGTGAGGCTAACTAAACAAATGAGAAGCGGCTCTCCAACAGATGCAGACCCTTCCTGAGCTGCATTTTGAGATCCATAAAATGAGGCAGCTGGCAGCTGGGTGAATTGAGAGCTGGGAGGCAGCACAGACCGGAGAGGGGATTGGGAATGGAAGAATGGGGCAAGCAACCGGAAATAAAGCTCCTTCATGGTCCGGTGCTAGGGCAAGAAAGGGTGGGAGGGGAGGCATTTGAGAACCAAGCCGACGAGGAGGATGGGCGTGCTGGAGAGGGATCACGAATGTCACACAGAGAGATAGAGTCCTACGTCTTGTCTGACACAAGTATTGGCACATATATCTGGGCTTCTTGAATTCTCACCAGAGAGGGGGGCTTGTGGTGTCAGAGAGCTTGCACGAAATAGGACCTTTGTGGCAGACCCTTCAGATGATTCTGGACGGTGCAGACTTTAAATGACAGAAAAGTGACCCATGCTTATGGCGGAGACTCCCTGATCTCAAAATCTGTGCTCATGGGTGTGTGGTGGTGGGAGGGGTGTTGTCCTAAGCAAATAAGTAGGGTATGGACGAATGGACAGCCAATAAAAGCCTGCCTCTAAACGCTCTAGGAACAGGGCTAGAGAACCTTAAAGAGCTCGTTAGCTGAATTGGATCTAGGCCACCCCATCTGTCCCCTCACCTCTGCAGCGCCTCCGCCTGGGTCCGCAGCACCATGTCCAGGCGCTCTAGCTCCTCACAGCGGTCACTGCTGCTGCAACCCGCGGGCAGCACAAAGAGAGGCACAGCTCCTAACCCAGCACTGTCCAGCAAGGCCGCAGTCTCGTCCCGGGCCTCAGCTGCATCCTGGGAATCTCCAGGACGCAGATTCCGTACAGCCAGCAGCGGTGTTCCTCTGGCCAGGGCGGCCCGCGCTGCCTCTCCCAGAGCTGGGGTCAAGGGCTCCTCGCTCCCCTCAGATCCAGGTAGCACCAATACCAGCAAGTTGGCCTCTGCCGCCCAGGGCCCGGGAGCTGCGGGTGGGCAACTCAGCTCACCCAGGAAGAGGCCCGGAGCCGCAGCTCTCAGGCTGGGCACGCCAGAGTCCGGCCGTCCATCGGGAATCTCCACCGTGTCCACATTCTTACCGCATAACGCGGCGATCAGGGCGGACTTTCCCGAGCCGGGAGGTCCCAGGAATAAGGCAGTCACGTCACCCTGAGGCAGAGGCATTGCTGGAAAGCAAGAGGCGGGGGGGGGGGGGGAAGACATCGGTCAGGAAGCACGTAAGACTTTTTTATTTGCTTCTCTTCTAAGCGTCTCGCTGTGTAGTCCTGGCTGGCCTGACACTCAAGAGATCCTCTTGCTTCTGCCTCCCAGAGTGCTGAGATTAAAGGCGTGCTCCACCACACCGGTCAACACCCTTTCCTAACTGCTTCACTGTAGATCCTCCAGCCTTCCATTTTCCAGTGTCACTCTGTAGGACCTAGAAACCCAACCCCCAGGGGCCTATTCCCCGGAGAGCCAGGTGTATGCCCATTCTCCAAACGAATGCACCCCCCCCTTTTTTTAAAAAAAGGAAAACAACAACAAAAAAAACCGGAAACCTGACTGCCAATCTCTCTGGAACTCGAGGATTGTCTTTCCCCTCCCCGTTCCAAATCACCAACCGAGCAGAGAGGTGACACGCCTGAGCACGGAGGCCCAGCCCCTTAAGACGAGCTAATGGAGGCTGAAGGGGCAGGAGTGTCCGGATTTAGAGACATCCGGACTCCTTCAGGTGGCTCTATCCTGATGGCATTCCTTCCGAGACCGGCTGTGTCTTGGAGCCACTGCAAAGATACAGAATTTTTGGCAGCTCGCTCTTTCTAGGTAAGGCTGAGCGAAGGCACAATAAAACCCATGCGCGTGCGCAAAAAGTTTTGGGGCGGTGCCCCATCACGATCAGCAACCAATACGCCTGCGCAGCAAGTTAAGGATTGTACGGCAAAGGGGACAGGAAGAGATGCGCCCATGCCACAAGCTTAGCGTTGTACGGAGCAAACAACCAACGTCATCATCTCGCACCCCGGAACAGGGAAGGACCTCTCCACTTGCCCTTCCGAGGACTTGGCTGCTGTGACTGTATTAGTGCCGGACTGCAACCTTGAACCTGACTCGGAATCAATGGTGGGGCAACTGGGCTCGGAGATCAACTAGAGTCTGGGAAAAACTATCCCGCTCTCTTCCGGTGACAGAGCTTTGGCGACCGACAGTCAGGCGCAGCTAAGGGACAGCCTTTTACGAGGAGGAACCCAAGAGGCCACAGAGACCATCGAGAACTAGGAGCAGAAGGCAGTGCACGCGAGCAGCGGGATCTAGACATAGGCTAGTGAGCGTGTGCGGTGACTACGGGTGAAACAGGAATCACAGAGAAGGATGTCTCCTGGGAGAAGGCGGGCTCGAGTGTGAGCACCACTGCTTGTGTGGAGGTTAGGGTTAGGGTTGATACGTGAGAAACTAGGATGAGGCTGGTACGAGAGACAAGGGTTCCACCTTCGAGGGGATTCGGTTTTATGAAGATGAGATCACGGGGGCTTGAAGACCGAGGTGTCACAAACCCAAGGAGTCTCCCATATGAGACGGCTAGTGAGAGTGTCATTAGAGTTTAATGGATGTCAAAAAAAAAAAAAAAAAAAAAAAGAGCGGGGACCCAGTATGGCTGGCGACACACGGGTAGCCTCGCCCGCTTTTTTTCTTATCAGAACATCGCTCTGAAGAGCCTGTAGAGGGCAAGCTTCTCCCAAGGAGCGGAGTCCAGACAGCTCAGGAGGCGACCTCTTTGAGTACTGCCTGAAAGAGGTGATGGGTGCAGGAGGGATACTAAAGGGACCTCCATATCTCAACGCCCCGCCCTGCTGAAGGTGGCTGCAGTGACCCCAGCTACCTGCCAGGAATGACCACCTCTCATGATCAAAATTATTTTCCTTGATCGGGGTAAACAAGCAGGAGGACGACGACATTTAGAAGAATAAAGAGCTGCCAAGTGAGGCTTGGGTTGTGGAGTGTGACATTGTGACTGGGGTTATCATTACCTGGAATGAGTCCCCAAGGTTCTTGTCCCACCTTTCCCCTAGACTTTCAATATTACTGCGCTTCAGTTTCCCATAGCAAACGGGTGCAACACAGGCCGTGGTGGTAGCACACGTTTAATCCCAGCACTCGGGAGCTAGAGGCAGGCAGTTCACTGAGGTTGAAGCCAGCCTGCTCTATATAGAGCAAGTTCCAGGACAGCCAGGGCCACACAGGGAAATCTTGTCTTTATTATAAACAAACCAAAAGGGGCATCACACCACACTTCTATGGGGGCAGTTATGGGATTAACTGTAAAAAAGGGGAAAACTTGACTTTAATGAAATTTAATTTAAATGATATAATTTACTTTATAACAGCAGTGCTCCTAACTGAATGTTTTCTGTGCTGGGCACATTCGTTGCCAAGTATGAATGACTATAACTTTGATTATCTCATTTGTTTCTAATGGTGGACTGTGTGTCACTGGTACCGCAGCTGTGGTGTCAGTGTCTTATAGGCACAGACCACAAGAAACACACCTGCCTTGGACAAGTTGGGATTACCGTTCAGTTTTCAAAACCCTGTATTTAGACCAGGCAGAGGTGGCACATGCCTTTAATCCCAGGACTCTGAAGGCAGAGGCAGTTGGATCTGTGAGTTCAAGGCCAGCCTGGTCTACAGAGTGATTCCAGGAAAGCCAATGTTACATAGAGAAACCCTGTCTCAACAACCACACACACACCAAAAAAAAAAAAAACCCTCTGTATTTAAGATGAGTGGTGGTGGCTCAAGACACATCTTTAATCCTGGCACTCAGGAGGGAGAGGAAGATGAATTCATGAATTTGAGACCAGCCCTGCAGGGCAGTGGTGGTGCACACTTTTAATCCCAGCACTTGGGCGGCAGAGGCAGGCGGATCTCTGAGCGTTCAAGGCTAGCCTGGTTTACAGTGAGTTGCAGGACAGCCAGAGCTACATAGTGAGACCCTGTCTCGATCAACAAAAAAAAAAAAAAAAAAAAAAGAGAGAGAGAGAGAGAGAGAGAGAGAGAGAGAGAGAGAGAGACCAGCCTGGTCTACAGAACGAATTCAGGGCAACTGGGGCTGTTACGCAGAAAAACCCTATCTTGGGAAACAAACAAAAGACACCCCACCTCAATTTTGTGGTCAGAACAAAATTCAGGGGACTGAAGAGAGAGCTCAGGAGTTAAAAGCATCTTACAGAGATCTCAAGGTCAGTTCTCAGCACCTGCATATTGGCTCATACCACACACAACTTCAGGTACAGGAGATCCAATGTCTTCTGACCTCTGCAGGCACCAGACAAACATATGGTGCACACACATACAAGCAAACAAAATAGGATTAAAAAAAAATCAGGGACTTGTGCAAGGTAGGCAGGGGCTCTGCCACTGAGCCACCACCCCAGCTCCTCTCTGGGGGATGCTAGGCAGGGACTCTGCCAGAGTCACATACCAAGTTTATTGGGTATTGCTAAATATACCATGTGAAAAGACCCAGGCAGAGTGTTCAAAAGAGTTTACAGGATTGGGCTTGTGTGTGTGTGGTTTTAGGAAGATTTCAAAGAAGAGGGTTTTTAGCCAGGATTGGATGCTGCCAGAAAGCAGAGGCATCTGTGATTGGGTTTTTTAGTTGTCCTGTTTTTCTGAGAGAAGGTCTCTAGCTAGGAGCATTGCTACAGTGTCTACAATTAATTGGGGCAGCAAAATGGAGCTCTGACATCTGCGAGTCAGATGTGTAGACCAGGCTGGCCTATAGACCAGGCTGGCCCTGAACTCACAGAGGTCCACCTACCTCTGCTTCCCAAGTGCTGAGACTAAAGCCATGCACCACCACACTTGGCAATGACTTAAGAAATCCACAGTGGTCAGTCTGACCCAGGACCGAGGGGGCGGGGCTGAAGCTGAGATTGATCGCTCCGGAAGCAGTTCCTCCTGTTAGCCAGCCACGCTCATGGCTTGGGCGGGTCCCGTCATAACCTCCTCGCCTCTTGCTGCTGATCTGTGAAATTGTGTCTGTTGCCTAGACAGAGGCCTAGCAGCGTCAACTCCCAGATGCCAGGGCTGCTTGTCACTGTCTCAGAAGCAGTAAATTGCCACCATTGCGGCGTTACATGTGGAGTTGCTACAGTCAGGACCCCATTTTTCTGGTTGATGAGACTTGTCCTTGCCTTGGAAATTAAGAGATTCTACCCCAGGCAGTGTCTTCATCACCGTGCCGCTCTGTCCGGCAGGCAGACTGGGTTCTAAGACTGGCTGTATCTCTTCATGTCGCCCATCCATACTCCTGCCAGGGCTGCAGGAGGAAACTGCCCCGCTATGTATGGACAGCACTATATATAGGCCTGCCCAACAGAAAACAGTCGTTTTAATTACTGCCGTGGTTCTAAGGCCAAAGACAGGTCTTGGAGACTCCTCCTGGCTTTCCCTTCACCTCTCCCACATCCCTCAGGCTGCCTGGAGGTTCTGCAGTGCAGCCATTGCCCCTTTTTCTGTATTCTCTTTTTTTTTTCTTTGTTTTTCGAGACAAGGTTTCTCTCTGTAGTCCTGGCTGTCCTGGAACTCACTCTGTAGACCAGGCTGGCCTCGAACTCAGAAATCCGCCTCCCAAGTGATGGAATTAAAGGCGTGCGCCACCACTGCCCGGCCCAGTTATATTCTATGAGCAAAAACATCAGAAGTCTTTGTGGCCCAGAAGCTGCGGGGGTGGGGGTGGGGGCAGGATGGTGGAGGTGGCACGGTGAGGGGGGAGCTCTTCATTCAGTTTTATCTCTCCTTGCTCCTCCCCCTCCTCCAAGGCCTTGTCCACCAATGCAGCCACGGTCCAGGGACCAAGCCACTCTGTTCACCCACCGAGACCCAGTCCACTTCTCTGAGGCAGCACCACCAGGTCAGGATGCCCACACCACCCCTGGCTCCTTGGCCTGCACTGAGGATGGTCTGGATGTTGCCCAGGAAGCAGAGCCCTACTGGGCATGCTCAGGGGGAGATTTTGAGTGGACGTGAACCCTCTCTGCAGTGATGAGGCTCTACAGCTGGGGGATCCATCCCATGCTATCGGCACAGGTCTCCTGGAAGAACTGAATTACCTTACCAGGAAGGCGAAAGGTAAGAGTCACATCTGCAGTTTTTGGAGAACACAGGGCCTTCCCAGAAGCAGAGATATCCGATAAATAGATGTGTTGAGAAAGCAAGAAGGAAAGATTATTCCTAGCTCGCTCAATCCCAGTTAAATAGCTTCAGAGTCCGTAATCACACTTAATTTTTCCCAGATGGATGCCAGGACTGCGGGAGGAAATTGCCCTGGCTCTGTGCCTGGGTGGGGGCAGGGAAGTGAAGCACTGCTGGCTGGCATCAGACCTTTGGAGAATGATAGACAGGAGTGAGCTGGACCCTGGGCGACCAGGGGTGGGGTAGGGTTCACAGTTCTCGTCCCCATCCCTCCCAAACCTAGGCCAGCTTTCCTGACTCTGAGGATCAATGGTATTGCAAGGTACTGCCCGCTGCTGATACTTTACACCCTGTTTGACTAATTCTGAGTACCATTCTAGTGATAGGATATTTTTATACGCACAAATGAGGAGGTGTGAGCAAACCGGCAAGGAAGAGTGTCTGAAAACCATACAACCATATTAAAGTAACTAAAGAGGGAGACCTGGCTCTGAGTGGGGACTGCCAGAGAACATATGGAAGTGGGAAGAGGAGAGAGCACACAGGGCAGGGCTGGCTCAGCCCTGTAGAAGAACTAGTTTGGAATCAAACAGAGATGCCTTCTGCTTTGTGTTCATTTGG